ACAGCCACCCAAAACATCACACTAGGAAAGGGCCAGATGTTCAAACATGTGAGCCAATAGGGAACATTTCAGAGGCAAACCATAGTGCAAAGTTCAGGGGTATATATAATTTCACAGTATAGAGTCTAAATGAAAGTTCCTAGCCTATTTAATATTTATGCTAAATAAAATGATTTAGCTTTTAGCAGCTCACATCTGCTGTAAATGTCTATGATAACCCAGAAAAGTGTTTTCTGCTGGATTGTACTCAGATTGATCACCCAGATTGCTTCTGGCTACTAAGAAACCTTCTCACTTAATAAGCCATGAATTTCACGGAAATTTGCTATTCAACCTACTGAGAGAATATCCAACATCCTTGAAACGTGTTGGGAAGATGCAATCAATGTTTTCTACACAGGTCCTGAAAATATACAGTGCTTGAGTTTGCCAATGAACACTTTATGAGATAACACAAAAGCAGGACTGTTTGCTCTAAGGAAAGTTTATCCTCATAAATTTCAGCCAGAGTCATGATTGCTCATTAAGGCCAACTCTCAAAGCCAAGTGTACTTGGCCTTCATCATACACCTGATTCAGCACAGCTGTTTCCAAGAGGAGTCCAGAGCCTTGGAATTTGTTCTCACAGGATTTAGATTGTGCCTTACTTACTTCTATCAATCTTTGGGTTTAGAGGTTACAGAACCACATGTTTATAATACCTACTAATTGACCACATCATTTATCTATTATTCACCATGCAAGCAATTTTTTCGGGACTATTTCAAAAGTTTGTTATTTTTTAAAATATCTCTTACTGAAATGAAATGTAAATATTCCAAATGTCTTAAATTGGATCTCAGAGGGAACTACAGAATCCACATGCATTTCTGGGTTTGGAAACAAGCCACACCAAGAGCTTCAGGAAGGATTAGCAAAGTTGACCCTGCCATGAGCAACACAACACAGAGTTCTTTCCTGAGACTATTTAAAATTATTTGGCTAGGAGGAGGGAAGCACGAGGAAGAACATAGTTCATGAGGTGAACTCAGCTGAGCCATGTGAGGAATATATGGAAACAAAAGCGAGTATGTTTCCTGTTTGTATCTCTGATTGAAGCAGGAAACCTGTCCTCTACAAATAAGTCTTGTTTCGTATTTACACCAAGTAAAATGGTTTAGCCTTCAGTAATGTGCATCTGCTACAAATGTTCATGAAAACACCCATAACAGATTTTAATGTTCCAACATAATTTAATATGTGAATAGTAACAGCAAGACCCCACTATTATTGAAGCTACTCTTCTTACAAATTTGCTGTTGAACTAGAGTAAAAATTTCCAAATCAGTGATTCTGAGGAAGAATAAAATGCAGAAATCACTTGCTTGACCACCTAAGAAAACAATAACTAGGGCCATACGCATAGGTGTGAGTGGAGTTATGTATTCCAAAAGGCTCCTTTGTTTCACCAAACCCTATGATTTGTAGAGGTCTCAAAACAGGATTCTTTTCAGCATTAGCACCAATATAAATACTAGTAACTAATAATGGGATAAAATTTAAAGCATTATTTACTACTTTAACTTTTGAAATCAGCATACAATGTATTAGAAGTCATTATGAGTTTTCTGGTGGCCCAGCTTTTAAAATTTTATTGAATTATTGTGCATTTCATGCAATGTATCTGGATCACATTTAGGACCAATCCACACCACCTCAGAGCCCTCACTTGGCCGAATTTCATGCATTCTGTCATTTATGTTAAGGCCTATCAAGTCAGACTTATGTCCGTTATTGTGAGTTCATCCACTGGAGCCTGGTCAATCCATCTAGTGTCATTCCCTTAAAGAAGAATCAGTCACCCAGGAGTGATGGTCAGTTTCCAATAGTTACTCATCTAAGTTTGGGGCTTCTTACCCTTTTCTCTACTTTTGTGCTTTTTTTTTTTCTGCTTTGAGCTTGCATGAGTCTTTTGCATGCTGTCACCATTGCTGTAAGTTTATATGAGCAAGTTCCCAGCTGCTTGGAAAACTCTCTTTCCTCATAGTCATCCACCACCCCTGACTCTTACAGTCTTTCTGCCCCCTCTTCCACGATGGTCAAGGTCCCTGAGCCGTGGGTGGGTAAGGTTTAACACAGGAGTCCTATCCAGGCACATATACTCTGTGATCTCTTATTTTCTATACTTTGGCCAGTTGTGACATTCTGTGTTCATTGCCCTCTGTTGCATGAGGAAGCTTTGCTGGTGAAAGTTGAGAGATGCACTAGTATTCTCTCTACCCCCTGTTCCACTGTATTCTGTGAGCCTTAGGTATAAAGGTTATACTGTTGATTTGTAACTTAGGGATGGGCATCTCTCAGACACTTATTCTCTGTGTATAGCCAGTTGTGTAACTCTGTATTGTCTCCATATGTTGCAAAAAGAAGCTTCTTTGATTAGTGGTGAATGTCATTATGGCACTTTTAAGCAAAATGTGCTTCAGTAGATTACCTTTAAGTTGCAGCAAAATGAATATTACCTTTAGGAATGTAACCTGTGAATAATACATTTATAGCCTTACTAAGACCAGTAAGCACATTCAGATTTACCTTGTCAGTTCCCAAGAAATAATTAAATAAACAAAACCATCACTATTGTAGTCCTATGAGGAGAATGTCATTTATTTTATTTAAGATAAGGAAATAGGCACATAATATTGCAATGGCATGTTCATGACCACAAAGAAGGCATTTTTACCATAGATGATATATACACAAGAGAAAAACATGAATCACGCAGCCCTTCTCAAGCATAGATGTAGGTAACATAGTCCATTGAATCAGAATACATCATAGGAAAAGATTATAATTAATTCATTGTATAAAAACTCAAATCAAGAGCAACTCAAGTCTCCAAATTTTCAACAGTGTGAACAAAGTGTAGTCCAAATATATAATGAAATATCACTTAGCTACTATCAGCTATTGAGTAGAGCTGTGCTTATTGAAATGGAACAAAACTATTTGATATGTGAGAAGAAAAAATTAAGAACAGAACATGAGGACTGGAGAAATAGCTCAGTGGTAGAGTGCTTGCCTAGCATGCACAAGGCCTTAGTTTCAGTCATCAAGAAAAAATAAACAAAATAACAGCAAGTAGAGTGTTGTCATATGTACCTAAAATTACACCTATGTATAGATGTAAAGACAGGAAATATATCAAAATACAGCATGGATTAGACTCAGTGAACTAGAAAGAAGAGAAGTTGGGAAGGGGTCATGGCTGACTGGGTCTGAGAGACGCTGGAAGTGGAATGGAGGGTTGATATGATCGAAATACTTTGAGTTCATATATGAAATTCTCAGAGAAAGAATTTTTAGAAGAATGCTTACTTGGGAATATTGAGATTTTTTTCTGAGAGCCACAAATTCATTCGTACCTGTGGTAGTTTCAAATGAAATGTTTCCCATGGACACAAGTATTTGAATAATTGACACCAGATGGTAGCACTGTTTGTGGAGGTTTAGAAGGAACGACCTTGCTGGACAAAGCATATCACTGGGGGCGGCTTTGAATTTGCAGTCTCTTTGATTCCTCCATGTACTTAAAGATGTGGGCTTACAGTTTAAACCCCCAATTGCCTACTGCCATGCCTCTCTAGCATGATGGCCTGTATCACTTCATAACCCTAAGCCACAAATAAACTCTTCATTCTGTAACTTGCCTTCGGCAGGAGACTCCATCACAACAGAAAAATAAATAATGCCATACCTTTGCAGTCAATTTTTACTATACTTGTCTATTGGTTTTATAGGAATAAAGTGAGATAATAGTAGAGAAGCATAATGTCTGACATTCTCTGATTTGTGACTGGTTCATTCCAGTGTATGTTTTGTCCCCACCCTTTTGCCTCTTCTGTGTGTTTGTCACTTTGTTTTTCAAAAGGAAACTCATCACTGGACTCTCCCCTAAAGAGAATATCAAGAGCAATCTCCTCATTTAAAGACCATAGTTTGATTACGTGTGGGAAGATCATTTTTAAAATAAAGTGTAAATGTCAGAATTCAGGCCTGAATTTCTGTGGGTGGGCGTTGTTCATTTTACTGTGCCACATATCTTGATGCCCCCTCCTCATCTTTCAGCTTGAACTTTTCCACACATTTCTACTTGGGCATTTGTGACAGGCCTTGTACAGAATTTCAGTCTCTTAGTGAAAAGGAAATATTCTCTTGGAATAATCAAGAGAGACTTTTCCCTTTTGGTATCACTTGATGGATGTAAAAAGAGTAGAGAAACAAGAGATTTTGAAGGAATGGAAACCTGAGAACCTTGTCAACAAGTCTCGACACATAGCTCCATCCCCAGAGAGGCCTTCTGGGATTTTATATGTAGCTCTGACAAGTATTTGCCAGTTTGTAGTAGATCTGGAATATCAGATGAGTCTAGTTTTCACTTAGCCAACAAAATGACATAATTCTTAGGGTATCCCTAGTCAGTAAATTCTTAAGCAGGTAGCTTAGCAAATATCCTAAATCTTTAGATATTTATACTTTTCTCAGGATCCTGTGACACTGGTGAATTTGTCAAGAAATGCAGAAATTAAAGATTTCAGTTCATACCCTTAAGTGCATCTTCACAGTGTTCTAAAATAGCTATATTGGTAACTATTATTTAATATTCATACTTGATATCTTCATTATCCCTATAAATCTAGACTAATAATAATTACAACTTTTTTCCAAATATAGTGATTAGGTACGCTATGCATTATTCCTAACTATACTCTCTGGAAACTTAATTGTGATTTAGCAACATTGAAATGTTAGGACACTGGTGATGCTCACTTACCTGCAGAATTTAAATTAGTTCAATTTGTTCCAGAAGCAAAAAGATTAAATCAAATCCAAGAATAATTTTAATTTGACATCAACAACTTAAGTCACAGTTGAGCATAGTTTAGCTACTATTAAACTCACCCAGGAGTGGATCACAGCATATTCAGGGTCTCTGACATTTCTAGTCACATGTTTTTTTTTTCCCACATCAGATGGGCAATATGCCAATGTGTAATAAGTTTTGAGGGTGACACATGTCACACAGGCACGTGACCACCCAGTCATCACTCTTATGGACCAAAAAAGGATCGAGTCACATGTTTTACTTGAATAGATGTTCATATTTGCTGAAAAACTACTATGCTTCATATAACACATCTAAAATAGACAATGATTTGATTTACTGAGCACCAACCTTTGTTTAATTTATTACTTTTTTGTAATATAAACTATCTCTGAAATGATTTTTAATGATTTGCAGTATTAAAGTATATTGAAGAAATAGAATAAACTTTTCTTTTAAAATTTCTTTTTTATTAAAAAATTTTATTTGGATTATTGTGTATTTCATACAGAACATTTCAATCCATCATAATCATCTCCCATTTCCACTGGTACCTTCTCATAGCCCCATTACTGGAATTCATACATTCTGTCAATTCTGTTAAAGCCTATTGTGTCTAGTTAGTTCCCCAGCGCAAGTTCATCTACTGAGGTCTAGTCAGCTGACCTAGAGTCCCTCGCTTTAGGAAGTTCAGTTCTTCCTCACCTAGCAGTAATCAGCTGCCAAAATTTCTTCAGCTAAGATTGGGGTCAGCTGTCCATTTCTCCAGTTCTGTGCTGGGTTTTTGTCTGCTTGAATTTGCATGGGACTTGTGTATGCTGACACCATTGCTATAGATTCATATGAGCAGGGTCCTAGGAGCTTGTAGGATTCTATTTTCATATGGTCATACTCATAAGACTCCTCCCTGGCTCTTCAAATCTTTCTGCCCTGTCTTCCACAGAGCCCTGGATGGGTGGAAATTAATATGGTCCTGTCTAAAAACCAGTGTTCTGCAGACTCTTAATCACTACACTTTGATCATTTCTGTCCTTTGGGGTTCCTGGTCGTCTGTTGCATGAGGGAGCTTCATTGATGAGAACTGAGAGATTCATTAGTGACCTCTTTACCCCTGTTCTGTGTTCCTGAGACTTAGGTGTAGACATTGCATTGTAGATGTGTCACTTGGGCCTGGGCAATTCATAGACAATCTCTGTGTGTGACCAGTAGTGGTACTTGGTAATTGTATCCATCTACTGCAAAAGAAGCTTCTTTGATGAGTGGTGACTGGAATATTTGTCTGTAAATACAAGGATACATGCTTTGTACATAGTAAGAAATTACATTAGCCTAGCCATGTGCTAGTCTTCGAGTTTTCTCTAAGATCTGTGACCTCTACAGTCATGTGTATTTGGTTATATTTACAGTAGCACACTTGAGTTTCCTTCCATTGAGTGGGCTTTTAGTCCAATTAGGTAGCTGTTGATTGCCCTCAAGATAAAAGTGCCACTACTGTCCCAATGTCCTGTGCTGTGTTGGCCATTGATGTGATTATTTGGTCTTGAAGCTGGTGGTGGACCATCAATTGATGTTTTTCCCTTGGCACCTTCATAGTGATCTCCAAAACTATGAGAGCTAGCCTTCAAGGGAAGTAGCTTCCAGGTCAGTTCCAGGTCCATTGCTCCAAATCCTGTGTCCGATATATGTGCTGTCTTCAGCAGTAGGGTCTTACGTTCAGTTTCTGTGAGGCAATCAAGGGCTGTAGCAATAGCCTGTGTAATTTTGAGCATCTCTTGGACCACCCTAGCCAGCAACTCAAAGGAAGGTTTCTTCTGTGCAGCACTGTTTCTTGTTATGTAGACTTGTCATACACTTGGACTCATGTAGATATATTGTATGTACAATTTGTCCTTTGGTTGTTGAACTAATATGATTCCCTCTGGTCTTTTACACTAGCTAGGAAATATTTATTTTTCCTTTCCTTTTTCCTGTCCAAGCCTTCCACCATGACTTCCCCCAATAAAGTGTCCCCATTTTCTAAATTTCTCCCTTGGTAATACCAGTCTCCTATGGTCCCACCTCTCTTGAGCTTCTTTCCCCCTTATCCTCAAGGTTCCTTGTATAAGCCTCCCTCCCCTCTCCCTTTTAAATAACTCCATTTTTATCCATTTCTCCTTTAGTAACACCTGCCTCCTACTGTTCTTCTCTCTCAGGTTCTTTTCTTTTATCTCCCTGATTCCTTTTCAGTATCCTGGTTCCTGCAGTTATATCTGGGTACATACTCACATATAAGAATTTAGTGCAAGGAGCCACATATGAGGGAAAACATATGTCCTTTGTTTTTCTGAGTCTGTGTTACTTCACTTAGTGTAACAGTTTCTAGTTCCATCCATTTACCTGAAAATTTTATGATTTCGTCTTTCTTTTCCTCTGAGTAGAACTCCATTGTGTAAATGTACCACATTTTCATTATCCACTCATCAGTTGAGGGGCACTTAGGTTGCTTCCATCTCTTAGCTATTGTGAAAAGAGCAGCAACAAACATGGTTGTTCAAGTGTCTCTACAATACGATGAGTCCTTTGGGTATATGCCAAGGAGTGGTATAACCGGGTCAAATGGTAGGTTCATTTCAAGTTTTTCAATAGTTCTCCACACTGCTTTCCATAGGAGTTGCATTAGTTTTCAATCCCACCAGCAATGGATGAGTGTTTCCTTTCCCCACATCCTCTCTAGCATTTGGTATCTCTTGATCTTGGCCAGTCAGATTTGGATAAGATGAAATCTTAAAGTGGTTTTAATTCACATTTCCTAATTTACTAACCATGTTGAACACCTTTTAGGTGTTTCTTAGCTATATTCATGCCTTCGGAGAACTCTGTTCAACTCCTTAGCACATCATTTAATTGGGTGACTTGCTTTCTTGATTCTTTGTTTTTTGAGTTTTTATTCTCAGTGTTAAACCTCTGTCAGATGTGTCCCTGATGAAGATTTTCTCCCATGCTGTGGGTTTTCTCTTCACTTCCTTGGTTGTTTTTTTTGCTTTGCCGAAACTTCAGTTTAATGACATCCCACTTGTTGATTCTTGACCTTAATTCCAGAGCAATTGATGTCTGATACAAAACGTCCTTTCCTTCACTTATATCTTGTAAGTTATTGCCAATGTTTTCTTTTAATAGTTTCAGAGTTTCAGGTTTCACATTGAAGTCTTTCTCCTATTAGGAGTTTCCTTTTGTGCAAGGTAAAAGATAAGGTTCTAGTTTCATTCTTCTACAGGTGGATATTCAGTATTGACAGCACCGTTGGCTGAACATGCTGTCTTTCCTCCAGTGAATGTTCTTGACGCTTTGTCAATATCAGGAGGCTGAAATTGCATATTTGGGCCTTCAATGATGTTCCTTTGACCTATGGGTCTATTTTTGTGCTAGCACCATGCTGTTTTATGACTATAGCTCTGTAATATAATTTGAAATCTAGTATAGTAATCCCCCAGCACTGCTCTTTGTGTTCAGAGTTTGTTCAGGGTTTCTTTGGATATCCAGGGTCTTTTGTGCTTCCATATGGATTTTAGGATTTTTTTCTAATTTTGTGAATAATGTCATGGGGACTTTATTTGGGATTGCATTGAATCTGTAAATGGCTTTTGGTAGAATGTTCATTTTCACAGTATTAATTCTTCCAATACATGAGTGTGGGAGGTCCTTCTGTCTTCTGGTCCCTCATCAATTTTTTTCTTTAAAGATTTAAAATTTTCATTGTAGAGATCTTTAATGTCTTTGGTCAGGTTTATTCTGAGATATTTTATTTATTCATTTATTTTTATTTTATTTATCTTTGAGGCTATTGTGAATGGGAGGGTTTCCATGTACTGTTTTCCAATTGTTTGTTATTGGTATATAGAAAGTATATGATTTTTGTAGATTAATTTTATAAACTTCCCCTTTAGTGAAAGCGTTAATCATTTCTAGGAATTTTCTGGTGGAATTTTTGGCATCTCTTATACATAAAAGCATATCATCTGTAAAAAGGGAAATTTGACCTCTCCTTTTTAATAAGTACTCCTTTAATTTCCATTTCTTGTTTTATTGCTCTAGCAAGAATTTCAAACACTATATTAAAAAGGAGTGGAGATAGTGGATATCCTTTTCAGGTTCCTGATTTAATGGGAATACTTACGTTTTTTCACCATTTAGAATGATGTTGGCTGTTGGTTTGCTGTATATAGCTTTAATTATGTTGAGGTTTGTTCCCTCCAGTACAATTCCCTCTGGGCCTTTTATCAGAAATGAATGTTGAATTTTTTTCAAAGGCCTTCCATGCCTCTATTGAGATGACCATGTGGCTTTTGTCTTTGTGTCCATATATGATTTATGACATATATTGACTTATGTATATTGAACCACCTCTGCATCTCTTGAATAAAGACTACTTTATCATGGTGGATGATCTTTTTGATGTGTTTCTTTATGCAGTTTGCAAGTATTTTATTGAGAATTTTACATCCATGTTCATTAAGAATATGGGACTATAGTTTTCTTTATTGGTTGTACCTTTACCTAGTTTTTGGTATTAGAATGATGTTGGCTTTATAAAAGGAGTTTTGGAGTTCTCCCTCTGTTTCTACCTTTTTGAATAATTTAAGTAGTATTAGATACAGATTTTCTGTAAATGTCTTGTAGAATTCTGCTGTGAAACCATCTGGGCCTGGGCTTTTTTTAGTCATGAGATTTTGTGTTACTGTTTCAATTCCTTATATGTTTCCGGTCTGTTTAAACTTTTGACCTGTTTTTTGGTTTAGCTTTGGTGATACCCATGATTTTAGATACATATCCATTTCTTTTAGGTTTTCGATTTTAAAAGTGTATAGGTTTTTAAAGTATTCCCTTATAATGTGCTGAATCTTTGTTGCGATGTTTCCCCTCTCATCTCTGATTTTCTTGATTTGGAGTTGCACTTTCTTTCTTGTGGTTAACTGGGTCTATCTTGTTTATGTTTCCAAAGAACCAGCTCTTGGATTTGTTGATTCTTAGTAGCGTTTTCTGTGTTTCTATTTCATTAATTTCTGCACTGATTTTTGTAAGCTCTTGTCTTCTGCATTTCGTTTCATTTGCTGTTGTCTTTCAAGAGTCTTGAATTCCAATGATAAGTCATTTATTTGTACTCTTTCTGATTTTTTAACATAGGCACTTAGAGCCATGAAGTTCCCTCTTAGGACTGCTTTTAAAGTGTCCCAGAGGTTTTGTTGTATTGTATTGTCCTTTTCATTGA